GAAGCGAGCGAGAATAATATTGTCTGAAATTCACTCTGAATTAGTAGTTTTGCTCCACCTTAAATAGTATAGATGTCCACTGGTGGGATGTCAATGTAAGTTAGCAGATATATATATATGTGTGTGTGTGTGTGTGTGTGTATATATATTGTTGGCACTGCGAGTCCCATACTTGATTTTTATTCCCAACTCATACGCATAGCGTACGGTAAAGACTAGATAAATATATTAAATAGATAAATAACTTAGTAAGTATGATTTTAACAAATAGGAAAAACTACGAAACATTAAACTGCGAAACGATAAGAAATATATGGAAACGAATAACTTACATTTGTGTATGAAGGGACGAACTGCGAGCACCAACTAACTAAGTATTTACATAGAGGGCGTATATAAGGCGTACAAAAGCTCCTAAGGGACAAGACTAACAATGACGAAAATACTTAGACTGAAACGAGTGAAACAAAAGCCTATAGAATATATATATATTAATATATATTGTATATAGTGTGTTGGTATTAGCAGAGTAGTATGCTTATTGAATTTACGAGGCATCTACATCTAGTATCGTTTGTCAGTTTTTCTATTATAGTATATCTATAGTAAAGCTCTGTTTAATACACTTTTTTTATTGTAGCTGGTTGATGTCCGAAACAAAGTCCTTTACAGGTAAACTCCTCTATATGATGTCATGTTCGATCATGTTCATATATTTATAGTATTTTWATATTTATTTCTAATATCAAATTCCACCGTATTTTCTTGACAAGTTGTTTCTCGCATGCATAGGTCTTTCATTATCTCTCAGAAGGTTGTCTATTAAACTGGTGCAAAGCGACTTCGATTGCATGTCTCCCTTTTATTCATTGTTTTACTTTTCTTTTCGCTGTAGAAGCAACAGAAGACCAGCCTAAGAACTACAGCTGTATCAAGGAAGTAACAACCTATTACGCTGATAAAACACAAGTCCTACACAATGGTTTGTTTTTGTGCATAACATTGATATMATATAAACATATTTGTTTTGTAAAAAGTTTGACTTTGAATCACTATTCATGATGATAATTGCTGTTTGCAGGAACGGCTACTTGTATTCTCACAAGCTGTTCTAGGTTAGTAAACAGTGGATGAATATGCGGTATTTCTCTTTTAAGGTGGCTGCCTACTTGTGAACGTTCGAATTGAGCCCACGATGAGCGCGCGCTCAAAAACCGCTGAAAAATTTACAAGATTTTATTGAAGAACCATACGCATTTTGAGCTTCAACAGGGCAAAACCCTCAAATTTTGCACGGGACTCTATTTTTGAATAGCTCATTTGAAAAAACTCCTAAAAATCTAGGTTATGTCAACATTTTAGAAAAAGTTTAAATCAGTAACACATGAAAAAATAGATTTTGTAGGGATTTTTGTTCGGCTTTATGAGATTTTTTAAGATCACCGAAACTACAAAATATGACAAATTAATGTATTTTTTTGTATTTTTGTCAAAAATATCCATGTATTATTGTAGAATGATTGACTAGCYTTCATTTGTGGAATCATAGAGTCTGCAAATAACTATTATCTTATGAATCTTAATTTTTTAATCACTTCGGTGGCGCAATTTTTACTCCAAAAGCTCGTGCGTAGGCTTCCATTAAATTTTTTTTTTTTCCTATTAAATTTAGATTGATCTTCTAATTATTATTGTCGTATATAATAGACAATTCAAACAAGGCTTCCATTAAATGCTGATTATCTCGAAAACGAGCTCGGGACACCCTATTTTTCTTTGCAGATTTAAAATCAGCATTAAATTTCAATTCGGAAAATCGAAGTTTTAAAAAAAGTTTAAATCAATTTCCAAAAATAGGCAGTCACCTTAACGTACTTTTTTCTTCTTAATGCAGATAAGGGGTTTACGGTCTCTTTCGGGGCCCAACCTTCAATTTATGGTTCACTCGATCTCATCAGCTTCTCACTTCCTAGTAACACACGATTTTTTCTCCAGACAATTTATTGTTGCGAACGTGCCAAGCAGTAATCTGTATCTGGTGGTTGTTGATGCTAAATGCGGAGAATGTCAAGACCCATCATCCAGTATCGGTCTTCCTGGTGAACCCAAAATAGATATCCTTTTTACTGCTGATAAATAAGAGCACAGTGCACAGGGTCTGTTAGTCTGGATCAGTCCCTGATTTGGCGCATCGCTTTTTAGTCAGTGTCAAATGTGTAAAATAAAAGGTTAATTAGTACTTGGGTGGAAATAATATAATGTAATATTTTGTCGTTGTTTGTTTGATCGTGTTTATACCGCCTTAACTCTGCATACTAGATGATGTACAAGATGAGCAGTGCAAGCAACAACTGTATCGAAAGAGGCCACAAAGATGTTTTGAAACCGAGAACCCTGTAAATTACCATATTAGAACGGTTTCTTCTTATTCATGGTTCTTGTTTGAAGAGCAGCATTGTTTAGTTGTTGCCAACAAATGTTGGCCCTACACATCTAGACTACAATTCTGCATCAACGCTGCTCCGTCTTCTCTTTTAAGTTGTTTTTTTTTCAGGACGATTTAAAAAAATCTAATTTCTCTTATGACGAAAACAATGTTTGATTGATTTTTCAGGAATCCGAATATCCAGCTGGAAATAGTCGATGCCTGACTCCGTCTATTACCCTGCTATCTGCATCGCTTCTCATAGTATTAAAGTATCTACTCTACTGAAATGGGATTTCAAGTATCATTGGAAATGAATAAACGGCAATAAAAGGCTGCGCAGGCGGAAAAGAAGCCTTTTGTTTGAGCAACCCATTCATTTGGCCGGCCACAGTATGTTTGATCTTGTGCAATCACGCTAGTACGTGCATGGAACAAGTTACGGCTGATATTTTTATAAGGGTTTGCCCTTGACCAACAGTGCAATTTATAAAAGCTGTACATTTACTTTTGTAGCTTTGCTATGTACAAATGTATTGAACATTTTTCTAATGACCTATGTACTTTTGCATGTAGATATTTATTCATTTTAAAGTAAGGGAGAATGTTAATAGAGGTTAGACAAAAAGCAGTGGTAAACGGTGCAGTTGGTTAGACTGGGGGAGAAGGGGTTAATGTGGGTTACGTTTTATTATCGTGCAATGGGCGGGTGTTGGAAAAGCATGTAATCCGCTTTCTCRTCCCTCTCCTCTCAGATCCCACATGAAAGAAAGCTGAACCCCCCAAAAATTTGACTATTTGATTTTCATGCGAGGAAAATTATTTCTAACAGTAATTTTCAGTAAACACGATTTGACTGGACTAGTAATTCAGGGAATATTAAACAACACCATCAGACGTGGATAGTCAATATGTTGAGCACGTCTCTTTCGTGGTGCTCATGACGTAACGGTGGCCCTAAGGGGCCAGAGTCTAATTTATTTTAAGTAATTTATTATTATTATTATCATTATTAATTTCATATTTATTCATTTATTTAATAATTTCATCCATCATACAGTCAATATATATCCAATATACCTACACCATGTGGGTAACTCAGGATGGGCCAGAAAATAGTGCATATTCGTTGTCTAATTTATTTTAGTGAAGTGGCTTTTTGTGCGCTAACCGTACGCCGCAATTTCTATTCTTACGGATATTTAAATAGTGTTAGACTTTTTCGAGGATTTTGGTTCTCCTCACTTAGAAAAAAATCAATGATAGGCGAATTTCGAACCCGGCACCCTGGGCACCAAATGCTATTACAATGCCTATCCCAACCCTAACCCTAACCCTAACCRCTCGGTCAGAAGAGAATTCGCTGGGATGCTTTCTGATTTTTGTCATATTTAAAACAATATCAAAATATTGAAATATCAGTACGAATAGAAATTTCAAGTTGTCACTGCGTTTTAGAAATACAATTAATTTAAATCAGTACCATATAGGCTGATGGATGATGCGCCTATGTTTCCAAAGGTGTTAGTAACATTTGTTTTACACATGTTAATTTAAGTTCGCTATTCAATCCTAAATGCCATGCATATATCATGAATATATATCTTGGCCCGGTTGTACGAAGGGTGGATAGCGCTATCCGGCGGATAAATCCTTATCCAGTTAATTAGTCGATGCTGTTATCCAATAAATTTATCCATCGGATAGCGCCTCACCCTTCGTACAACTGGGCCCTAATGTATAGTATCCCTTTGAACCATATTCTAACCTATCTCRGGTATCTAAGCAAAATAAAGAAGTTGTTAGCCTGTGTCACTGTACGTGTTTTGCAAAATGAAGCGCCTCATATTATTTAATTTCAYATTTACCCGCATAAATTTATTCTATTTAACCACTTGAATGCGTGGCTACGCGTGGGAAAATCTATAGCTACCACGTGATAAGGTCCATTTGCGGATCATTTTATTTCTTTATTCAACCATATATTTTCTAATTGCTTGCTCCAAGAGCCATATAAACGGCTCATCTAGGGAGATCACAATGATAACTATATTTTACAGTGATTTACGGAGTACAAAATAGAAAACAAAAAGTAAGATAATAGTAAGAAGATAGATATTTACAATATCAAATCGGAAGAATATTGATATYGAATTATAATTTAGATTATGATAACGAGTACACAAGTACACGGATCATTTGATCAATTATGATGTCACGGTGTCATCGTCTAATAGCATCGATTCACTATGTTTAAATTCTGATTACTGAATAAAGTYATTCAGTCTCGAATGAATATCGCAATTTATTTAATTAAGTAAGTCGGATATGATGTTTATTTGTTTGTTCCCGCCAGACTACCATATCTAAGACAAGAACATCTTGAAARCAAATATGTTCGAGACACAACATTGTAGATTATAGCCCTACAAAGACCTATTAAAGAGATTGTAGCGGTAAAAATTGTTTGGCGCCAGGAAAAAACCCTAGTTTGACAAAAAATTGAACACCATATCTGAGACTTGAAAACGGTTGATAGCACCAAACTATATCCAAGAATGATGCCCTGTCAAGACAATATCTTGGGAACCGTACACCCTGTCTAAGATCAATATCCTGCCGAAACACCATGCCCTAACCAGCAGAACATATATATATACGAGAAAGATAAAGATGAAGATAACCGACAACTTGCGCACCTAGTCCAATTTCGAAGCGTCTCAAAACTAAGAGATGTGCTGGGAATGACGATCATTGCCTTGATCGATCGGTCATTAGTTATCACCCTCGAGGGAGGGCGGAGGCTTTTTTTATAACGATCAGTAGCGATTAGGTTCAGGGCTGGACACTGAAACAGACTTAATTTGGCGGGTTTGTTTTGGTTTGGTTTTTCTTCCTGCAATAAGAACGAACAGTTAACTCCTTGCTCTTCGTACAACTCGACAATAGACCCTTTTCGAGTTCCAAATTACCACTGTGTTTCTTGATTACAGACCATTTACTCAGGCCTTAGCCTTGAATCAGTGTCTATTCCAAGTACCAACGGTAAAGTAAAGAATGAACAACTTAAACAATACAAACACTTTGAAAMTTGACGGACCTTGACTGGAACACGTGAATATTCTTCACAAAATCGAGGCTAAGTCTGAGTAAATGAGTCTGTAATCAAGAAACACAGCGGTAATTTGGAACTCGAAAAGGGTCTATTGTTTAATCAAAGTCAGTTATCCAGCTTATCATTTTACTGTGAGTTAGAGAATCGCTATCTATGGCTTAAAACAGTGGTTTCATTTTAACTGCACCTTTGCGTTCTGTAAACGACAAACTAATTGTGGTGGACACGTAAAGAATACTGCAAAAAAAYCTGCAAAACTTGAAACTGCGAATTGTAAACGACAAATTATTGTTGTTCGCACGTAAAGAAGAGTTCATAATAATGCTCCTTTGCGTTTTGAAAATGAAAAATTAGTGTTTTTCAAGTATGGTAATACAGAGTTGTGTCAAACGTCCCACGTTGGAATAAAAAAAAACTGTGTATTACCATGCTTCGGGAGTAAATCGGAAAGCAGCCAAGCGAGATCAGATTGTGCATGGTGCGAAAGAATTTGGTGTTATGGTCATTAGCAAACAATAGAATTCYCAGAGCATCAAATCGTTGGGAAACGATCAATGTTTTCTGTATTTCCC